CTAGCCCCGTTCCCTAGAGGCAATGCATTTAACATTTTCTATTTTTAGATCTTCTGTTAACTAACTTGCTAACATTAAATAATATGTCTCAACAATAATTCTTGACTTATTAACTTTAGACAATCTTTAATAATTCCCCATTACAAAAGATAAGGATTTAACTTACACTATCCCCACCTTTCCTTTGCCTGTCCTTTCCCAAGCTTTCGATAGATAATGCCATTTTTAAGACTTCTTCTGTTGAATTTCATTTATAACTTTGGACAGTATACTGCCCTCTAGTACTTGTTCCATTAACTGCAGACTTCATCTTCTCATTCTCGCTGTGAATGCAGAAGTGGCCCATCTCTTCCTTCCACCCCTCCTCCCCCAACCAATTCTCAACCTCTTTCTGTTCTCTTGTTTCTTAGCTTGTCAGGATTCGTTCTATTCCATTTCAGTTCTGAATAAAAAATTAAGCTTCTCATGTTTTGTCTCTAGGCTGATCAGAACACTGAATACCAACAGACAGCATCTACATTATTTTGTCTAGGTAAATAGTGTTTACTGAGAGCCGAGTAGATGCGAGGGCATTTTTTTGCCATTCAAAACCCAGTGTTCATGATTCCTATGCCACTTGTAAGGAAAGGTACCTACCGCCAATGTCAAATTGCATCTCTTCGTACATTCCACGAGTTTTTGTTTCACAGTTGGACCTGAATGTCTCGACATACTTCCGTTTTCTTTTTGCCGACTGAAGCATGTATGTCTTCCATATTTTCAAACATTCCAGCTTCTCAATGATACGATCTATGGAACAGAATGTATATTCTTCCCAAAGAGCCTGAGACTGTGTGCTCTCATCTGAAATGGGTCTGCTAGAGTGAGGCATCCTGCTGGGACAGCTGTCACTCTAGAGTGACACATCTTGCTGGACTGTCACTCTACAGTGAGACCTCCTGCTGGACAACTGTCACTCTAGAGTGAGACATCCTAGGTGAGGTCCATTGTTTCCTGGATTCCATTTCTTCTTCTTTCCTGGTCTTCTTCCTCATTTTCTTGGAGAACTTCCTCAAGGTACTTTCTTAGTAAGGGTGCAAAGTAGGTAGACTTTCTGAAAACTTGCCTGTCAGAAAATGTCTTTATTTTGACGTCACTCTTGACAGTTTGGCTTGCTAGGTTATCCGGGATCCAAATATTTTCCATAAGGGAAGAAACTGCTCCATTGGCTTCCAGCACTCAGTGTTGCTGATGAAAAATCTGCTGCCAGTCTATTTCTCATCGCTTTTTAGTTGAGCTAATTATGATGACTATTTTCTCTTTGGGCACTTGTAATATCTTCCCTCTTTCCTTAATATTCCAAAATTTCACAAGATCGTGTCCAGATATAGGTGATATCAGGGTCCCTCCATATGGAGACTTAGTTCTTTCTGTTCTTCAATTTTTAAAAAATTTCTTCACCTAGATTTTGTATGTTCTCTTTTCCAAAAAGTCCTAATGCTTAGATATTGATTGATTAGATCGCTTTCCTTCATTTTTTTCTACTGTTTCTTTTTGTTGTGTATCTAGGGAGTTGCCCTCAACTTTATTTTCCAGCCTGTCTACTGAATATTTTGGGTAGTTTTATTTCACTTTCAAAGGGCTCTTTTTATTCAGTTTTTCTTTCCTTTGTAGCCTTCTGTTTTCATGTTCACTTTGTTCACCATGTTCACTTTGTTTCCTCTAGAGTTGGTTGTATTTTTCAAGTCTCCCAATTCTAACTGGTTATTTTTCTTACATGCTTCTCCCCTGGTCCTCCCCCTCCACCTCCTAATGCCCAAACTACTGGGCTGACCGTTTGCATTTAAGAATCAATATAACTGTTAACTTCTATAGGAATTGGCGTGGGTATCCTCTGCCATTGTATGGCTGGGTCTGTTTCTCTAGTTAAGCCTCTTCTGGAACTAGAAGCACTTGGGCATTTGCAGAGGGATTTTGACAGAGAAGTAGCTGATAGGCTGGGGGGGGGGGGGTTGTCACTTATTTCCAAAAAAGAGAAATCTTATTCTGGGGCACCAACTTCTACCTCTCCTCAGGCAGCTTAATCAACTTCTGTACAAACAACAACAACAACAAGAACAACAGATTTTTAATGGGTACCAATCGCAATACTGCCTGTGTTCTGCACAATGGTTGGGGTAGGATAGGACGGGGTTCAGATTTACAACGGGTATAAGGTATAACTCTATAGACTCTTCAGGTGCTCATGTTTCTTTGGGATTAGGTTGTTCAGATCAGCTTCTATTCTGTCTGAAAGACACCTTCACTCTTTCATTCATTATCATGCTTCATCCACCTTCTCTCTTCCAGAAATGTGTTGAGATCTTCTTCAGTTATTATCAAATCTGTTCCGTTTTCTTTGCTGAGATGTGTCAATTCTCTTTTGCATTTCTTGACTTCAATTTCAGTGGGGCCTGGGGAGGGAGGGGAAGTAAACTTATATGCTTAGTTCATCATCTTAAATTCAAAGTCCCACTGGAAGCTTTTAGACACAAGAGTGACATGAATAGCTTTATATATTTAAGAGGTCCCCGGGGCCGCAATGCTAAAAATGAACTAAAGAGGGCCAGAATGCATACAAATATTATTCTAGAGGACTAAGAATCTGATTTCCTCACTGAGAACATGCAATGTCTGAGACTTCTGGGAGTCAGGCACTTTACCAAAATAACCCATCATTCAAAACCCAGTAAGCTACTAGAATGCGTTCATGGTGCCCTAGAGATAATGCGTGAAACCTGAATAAACTGAACCTGAAAGACCCACACTGTCTTTGGGAAACACTTTAGGAGCCTACCGTAGATTCTTCCTTTGAACTGGCATTTGGGGTAAACAAAGGGACTTTCTGTTCTGATAAAATTGGATGGGGGGTGAGCACAGGCAGCCAAAAAGCTGGCAAGAAGGACATAAAGGTCCTTCTGTTTGCTGACTGGTTTCATTTACTCACTGATTTGCTTATTCAAAGCACTTTCGTTACTAACACCCATTCAGTAATCAGAGGGCCCTGGTTCGAATCCCAGGTCTACCACCTGTTAGCAATGTAGCCTCAGGCACTTTACTTGATCTCCATAAAATTCAGCTCACTTATTCCTGAAATGGGAGTGATACATTTCCACTTCATCAGATTATTGTGACGATTAAATTAATCTATATTAAAAACAAAAAACAAGTATGTTATTTGGCACACACTCAAAAACCCTCTAATTGGCAGGATTTTTTCAAATGTTGAATGAACGTCCAACATCTACGTTTAAAGCATCTAGAGGAAGACATTCATGAAATAGAGGAAAATAATTCTAGGACTGAGAAATGACATAATAAAGGAATCCACAGAAGAATACTCTGTGGGTCCAATCTTATTGCCTATGCCTCCACCCAGTTCCTAACAAAGTGAATAAATTAGTGTATTAAAACAACTAAATGAATAGAAGTGATCTAAAGGAAACTGGCTGGGTGTACGAATTAATCCCAGAGCCTCAACTCTACTTCAAATTACACAGAAAATGGGAGGTTGTGAATAAGATCAGAAGAAAACTTAAGAAAGTCTTTGCATTGTAATTAAATGAAATTTGGGTCAGTCATATCCAGTTAGCTGGTTCTGAAGTAAAGATTTCTCTGTGTGTGTGGACTTTATCTGCCAAACTGGTAAGGAACTCTGGCAGCGATAGGAATCTGTGCCACTCTGGAAATATAGACACCATCACTAAGCCGGGTGCCCATTGTTTGCTAGACAAACACCCTCATGGATTTGTTCTAGTTTTTCAAGTGACTTCCACTCTTGATCTAATCAAGGAAGGGCTTTTACCTGAAAGGTAGAACTGAATGAAGAGACTAAACCCCAAGTAGCTATTAAAACCCCACTGTGGATTTAGAGCCTGTGGATCCTGTAGATGCTAAAGCAAGATTCCACAATGCTTTCAGAGGCTGGTGTATAAAGTGTAGGATGGGATGGGATAGATCACACTGCCATCTGTAAATGCCATCTAAAAGGGCGGTCTAGCTCTACAATGATACCGAATTCATTAGACAGTAACAACGGAAGCTGACAATTTCTCAGTACCTGCCAACTGCCTGGTACTGTCCCAATTCCTTTTAGAGGTGCTAAAATTTAATCCTCACAATAATTCTATGAAATAGATCCCATTTGATAAGCAGTTTGCCCAGAGTCACGTGACTAACAGGTGGAAGAACCAGGCTTTGGATGCAAGGAGTCTGCTGTGAGAGATGATGGTCTTAACCTCCAGGCTGTGGCGAGAAAAGAGGACGTACTAAGCTCACTACTCCGTGGGCCAGCAGAACGCGGAGCAGTCTCTGAGACGTGCAAGTACTGTATTCGCAGGCCTCTTCAGAGCTATTGGTCTGAGTCTTCACGACCACCCTGTGAGGCAGGGATTTTTGTCCTCACCTCATACTCATAGAGCTACAGTGACTTTCCCAAGAGCTAACCCCAGCTATGGGCTCTTTCTGGTACACTAGATTGTGTCTCACGCTCTTGGAAAATGACCTAAGACACAGAATATCAAGGAACTGTCTGTTTATCCTGGTAAATTTGTGCTGCAGTAGATTCTAGGGTCAGGTTTTTGGAGCAGCTGGTCAAAACATACAAGACCAGAGAGTCCTCAGGATGTTAGAATGAGGACCACCCCCTAAGGGCCATGGCCCCCAATGGTGAGCCAAGGGCTGGCATGAAGGCAGGTGTCAAAGCTCTCAGAACCAGGCCAGTATAGGGCCAGGAGGGAATCTGACAGCTGAGAGCAGAGGAACGAGACTCACAAACAGAAGGCCTTGCTCCTGAGAAATTAGGATTCCCCTTTTTGCTGTGTTCTTAACCCACTTTCTAGGGATGGAGCCAGGCAGTCAGGTACAGGGGCAGGGAGCTGAGAGGGCAAGGCTAGGACCCTAAGAGACAGAGGTCGAGGACTGAATCCCCATCTCTGCCTACCTCCCCAAACCTCTCTACCTGCCACCTCGCTGGGCACTCCTTACATCTGTGTGAGGAGGTATAATTTCATAATATTTTCCTTCCATTCAGGCAGATAGGCCAGGCTGGTAGCCACTTCCTTCTGGATAGGCCAGGCCCAGGCCTCAAAGAACGGAGCCAGATTCTTCTGCACTTGGTGGGAGAACATCTTCACCCACAGATTCATTTTGTCAACATTGTCTGTGGGCAAGTTGGTCTGGTTCCTGTACTCAGTGAAGAGACGGATGAACGGCTCCCACCCAAAGGCCTCCTGTAGCTGGGAAGAGAAAGCAGCAGCAAGATGAGACATTTAATCCACAGAAAGAAGGCCCAGCAGACACTATAGTAAATTAATGTATTTAACCTCTGAAACACAAGTTTCATCTCTGTCACTGACCCTGTCTCCCGTTGTGGCTGCTGGCCTCATGGGCCATCCTTGATCTTATCTTCGGAAGGGCCTCTGAACTAGCACGGTGCTCAGCACCGAGCAGACACTCAATAAATGATGGCTGTGGTAATAACTGTAAAGGTTATTATCAGTATTTACCACCAGTATCGTTATTCATGTAGCTCACTAGATCGTGAAAGTGACCACAGGTTATCACACAGGGATGCAAAACAGGCTGACGCGAAAAAATCCTTGTATCTTCAACAGTTGCAAAGTTAAACCCCAGTAGTTGGGGAACCTCCACCCTTACCCTGACATTAGCCTGCATCGGCCACAGGCCTATGTCAGTCTGCAAGGCTAGGAACATGGCCTTTAGGGAAAAGAAGGTGAGTCCTATAGACACAGAAGATTATGTACAGTCTAGGTGGCTAGAATTAAGTTACGTAAGACATAGTTTTAGGAAAAGGCAGCTGTCCTGAGACCATTGGCAACAGCCCACGTGAGGCTGGGTTATGGTGCTTTACAGTTGGGACGGACATTAGCCATTCTCTGGAACAGCGTCAGCTGGGTTTCACACGTGAGCACCTTTTGTCCCTGGGGTGAAAGCGGCCCAACGACAAGGTTAAGGTCTGCAGGCACTTTCACTGTTGTTCTCAGGGCAGCGGATTCGAACAGAGCAAGAACCAGAATAGAGTGTGCCTGGCTGGAGACTGAGTTCCAGAATCCCAGGTGGTGAGACGCTGCCCCAGCGACCGCAGGGAGGGAACTGGCGTGTTGAACAGTAGTTCAAAGGCAGGGGCAACCTCGTGTCCAGGCCAGTGAGGAATCTGGGACTGCCTAAGAGGGAGAAACTGAGGCAGGGAGAAGATCTGCCTCCTGTAAGGAAACAACAGGTCCCATCCCATATCTTGTGTGTGGGGAGCAGGGCAGGGGGGTGTTTGGTTTTAGAGGGCTATTTTGTGGCACGGCTTGGCTTCAGTCTCAGGTATGTCTGGGTTTAAAGCCAGAGATGATAACTGTATTTAAGTACTCTTTTTGCCTCTACCAAGTTTAAGCTTTCGTGGTGCTTTCTATCCACTCTACTGAACCTCCTCAGAATCATGGTGTGAGGGTGGGGCTGAGGCAGTCATGTCCACTGGGAGGCTTCATCAAATAGCACTGTCACACTTGGGCTCCATCAGGTCTCCTGGGTCACTAGAACGTCACCTAACAAGGTTGCGCTGCCGGTCCCCTGAGTGGGAGGTTCCCATCCCCCTCCACTGCTGCCCAGTACCTGGAGATATGTTTCCAGGGCGGTCCACGCATTCCAGTTTTTCACATTGGGACCTTTGCCCAGGTAGATTCGGACCCTCTTCTCCCGAACCGGAGGCCACAGAGCAATATTGGCGCGGCCTCGAGGGATGCCCAGGACCGTCTCGTGCACATAAACACACCACAGGTTGCAGGTGGCCTCCGTGGTGTGCGGGGGGAACTCCCACTCCTGCCGTTGCTGGTTACGGCCGAGCTCGTGGACGGGGCCCCACAGCCCCTTGGTTCTGATGAGCTTCTCATTGATGAGCTCCTGCACAGACTCCAGATGGCACATGATGGGGTACCCTGCGTGCATCCAGCCTGGGCCGCAGGAGGGAGGAAGAGGGGTTAGGATGCTCCCCACGCATCTGTACCAGGACTCCCAGAAACCGTAATGCTCAGAAGGACGATCCACGCAAGACCCACCTGGGCTTCCCCCCTCCTCTCATGGTGGATGGGTGCCCCCACCCCACTCCCACCCGAGAGGGTGTGGCTGCAGGACTGATGCACGTTACAGACAGCCCTTTGTGTTCCTCTTCAATTTCTATTTTTGTGAGAGTGTCCTGTCCATGTGAACTTGTCTCATTATACCCTTCTCTCAAAACTGAAAAACTCCTGACGGTGGTTTCCCCTTCTCAATATTTAGATGTGGAGTTGCCCACATTGACACTACTTTATAGGGATCATCTCCGGAGGGGCAAGAAAACTGGGGTCCAGAGAAATTTCCATCGTTCTTTAATGTCCACACCCCCCCTGGTTTTCTAGGCTTCTTGACCCCCTGGCACAGATCTCTTCATTCAGTGTCTTCTCAAAGTTGTTCAGTTCCTTCTCCCAACAACTGTGACCTAGGTCCAGACCCTCTGCCACTCTTAGTTTCTCCTTGACATTCCCTGCTGGGGCTGCTGTGAAAGCCTGGCACTATTCTCTGAATGGTTCCTGCTGTTGAAGACCTCTCTTGACATGCTGACTTCGACTGTTACATACTTTTATGTTTTACTTTATTTTTATTTTTGAGAGAGGAAGAGAGAGAGTGGGAGAGTGGGAGTGGGGCAGAGAGAGAGAGAGAGAGAGAGAGAGAGAGAATCCCAAGTGGGCTCCGGGCTGAGAGTGAAAAGCCTCATGGGGGCTCGAACTCACGAACTGTGAGATCGTGACCTGAGCTGAAGTCTGACGCTTAACCAACGGAGCCACCCAAGCGCCTGTCAACTGTTACATATTTTAATGTGCTGCTCATATAGTTCTGTAGCCTGCTTTTCTTGTGTCACATAATCCCATCATATTTCTTTCTGCCATCAAAATATCACTTTAAATATCTTCCTCAATGACTATTGAAGGTACACACCATATATCACTTAACCATTCCATACTTTTGGACATTTAGGTAGTTTCCCGTTTTTTGTTGGGGGATATGGCTGTGTCTATTTTTCTTAGATCCATTTTCCCCCTTTTCATCTAGATGGCAAGACTTACATCTTATATGTCTTGCTAGAAAAACATTTTTAACCTGCTGGCCGCCCACTGGATGGCTGTTGGAAAAAAAAAAAGAAAGGAGAGGCCCCAAGGGGAGCGTGCACAGAGGGCTGGTTCGCCCAGGGCACCCACCAACTGAGATCTGCACGTCGGCGACGATCCTCTGGGGCAGACGCAAAGGGAAGGGCTCGGCCCCCAGCCGCGCCACAGCCTGCATCACCTCATCCCAGAGGCGAAGCAATGGCTCAGGGTTCTCCAGGGTACGGAGATTGGCAGTTGGCACAGTCAGGATGATGTTGTCCGTAGCCAGCTCTCCCCAGGGACCTGGATTCTCCTGGATACGCCTCTTCCACTCCTCCTGCGAGGTCTCCCCTAGGAAGAGAGGCCATGGGGCTTGAAACTCACTTTCCCAAATCCCTTAACGTGAAAAGATACAACCTGAGCCCAGGCGGAGAACAGCACGGTCATGAACAACCACATCCCCTCTCTCTCCTTCTGTGAAGTCCCTCCCCATGAATGTGGTTTGGTCCTTCTCTCCTTCCCTCTACCAACCCATGTGTCTCTCTTCCTACACCGAACAGCCCCAGACGACCCATTCCTGCAGGCGTGCACCCCACGGCTTCCACTCACCTAGCTTGTAGTACGGGGCATGCACAGCCCCCTTCACAGTGATGGGCACGGAGCCCAGTTTGCTGCTCTGAGGCACGATGATGTAGAGGAGGCCGCCCCAGAGGCAGGTGATGGACTTTGTGGGCTTGTCCAAGCAGCACCGGTTGATCACGAGCGGGCCTCGGAACAGCTTGCTGGCTCTGGTCAGGTCATCCGTGTGGCAGCCAATCTGTATCTGGAGCAGAAGATCCCCCCCCGCCCAGAGTCACTTCGGGGAGTGTGCAGGTGGAAAGGGAAGGCTCCCAGGAGGTGGGGACAGTCAGGATCACTGGGCCATGACCCCACGCAAGCCCAGTTTTTCCACCATTTGTGAACCATGTGTGCCAAACCCATGCAATTCCATCATTCCTCAGGGCCGCGTGGACTGAACCACGTGTAATGTCCTCCCAGGGACGCTGAAGTGAGGGGCACCGGGTGGAACCCACATGCTAATGCTGAGGAGGGCCGACTCCCGGGCCCCTGGGTGTCTCTGAAACCCACAGGATACTGGGTTGCCTATTTCACTGTGGCCATTCTGGCATTGGTAATAGGGCAGAGGGGATCTTGCGGACTCCTGCATTTTGTTGACTAGAGAGGAGGCCTGGTGAAGGGCAGCGTGACCGGCTGATGGCCTGGAGGATGGACTCAGTTCCTCCTGTTCTCCAGGGCCCCCCTCCTGGGCCAGTGGAGCAGTCCCTGCACTTCGCAGAGTCCTGGGATGGTTCTCCCAGGCTGATGCTAGAGAATTCCAGGAGAGGTACAGGCACAGAACAGACCCTACCTGTCACAACTCTCAAGGGGGCTGAGCAGGATGGCTACTTAATTTGTGATATGTGTGTGTGACAGTGGCAGAGCTGAAGGTGGAACAGGGAAGCAGGAACAGTCTTCGGTGTCACAGGGAAGAGGCAGAAAGACCTTGGGCTCCAGTGGGAGGTTAGATGGGCATGGAAAGGGAAATGAGGTTGACTGAACATTGCTGCATGCCGGGGTCCCTCCCTCCATGTGGTGCCTTATTTTATTTTACTTTAATGGAAGCATTTTATTTTTTAAATTATTATTATTTTTAAGTAGGCTCTGTGCCCAACGTGGGGCTTGAACTCACGACTCTGAGATTGAGAGTCGCTTGCGTACCGAGTGAGCCAGCCAGGCACTCCTGTTTGCTGCCCTTCTTATTCCCCACTGCAGGACATGAGTGAAAGGCACAGAACTTGAGAGCTAGCAGTTGGTGAGCTTTGAGTCCTGGGCTCCGCAATGCATCAGATCTACTGATCGACCCAAGTATAGTTGACACACAGTGTCACATTAGTTCCAGGTGTACTAGATTGATATTTTCAATCCACCTGCCCCCTCAGTTGTCTTACCCTTAAAATGGGGTAAGTCCTTGCCTCACATGGCCAGTAGGGTTTTTAACTGGCAACCCGGACAGCAAGGACCTCTGGCTTCTGCGTCACATGGGAGATGGGGCCTGGCCTTACCTTCAGATCAGCAGAGGCAGCAGCTTCAGGCAGCGAGACCTCTATGATCTGCCTTCCAGGAATGTAGAGTCCGGTGCTCATCCAGCAATATCTGGTGCCTGCCGATGCACAGAAGGGCAGACTTTATCCCTCCTCCGTGACGCCATCCCCGTCCAGCACATCCATAGCCCCTTGGGGAGCTCCGCCCGCCTCCCTCCCTTCATGCCGCCCTGATTCAGGTGCTTAAATGTCACCTAAATCCCCAACCCCCATCTCCTGGAAAGTGCACGGCCAAGGGTGGCGATGGCCTTCTGAGGCCATCAGGCCCCGTCCCCACGGCCCCCATGCTGAGTTCTCCTTCTCCCTGCCCCCATTCCTTACCTGGATTGTTGCAGTTGACGTCAACGGTGATAGGAGATTCCGAGGGGCGCAGATAGGGGCTGCTGTACATGTCTTCGATTTCTGGCACTAACAGAGAGAGGTCGCTTCCCGAGTGGGCCAGACCAGTGGCCAGGGAGAGCATAGCACCCCTGCAGCAATCATTGATAACAGGGTTCTCTCGCGTTGCTACCGGGAGCCGATAGCGACTCAGCAGTTTCCTCAGGAGCCGGTGCACAGACATATAAGCAGGGATCTCCTCTGCGGGGATCTGGAGGAAAGCAGCCCCGTCCGGCCCCAGCTTTGCCAGCCAGCCCTTTTCCACATTCCCTCTCTTCCGGCCCATTATGACCTGGAACTCAGCCAGAGTGGAGCGGAAGTGATAGGTCCTGATCCCTGCTTTAGGAGTACGGAAGGGCCCCGGATTGAGGCTCTGGCTTGTGATGCTGATGCCAAAGGGGTTGAGGAGGAGGTTTCCTGGGAACCGAGCCAGAGGGGACACTCCAGGGTTCTTGAAGGCCCACCACCAGGCTTGGGCTCCAACGAACAGTCCCCCGCCCTCTGCTACGAACTCCTGCAGCTCTTTGACCCCCACATCGCTCACGGGTTCAAAGCAATAGACACTCGCGTCGCTGGTCAGATGGGGCTCGATGCTGGTGTCTATGCCCCCCACTGCGAGCAGGCCGCTCAGTGTCCTCAGTTCTGTCTGCACCACGATCTTGCCTCTGCGGCCCCCGTCCAGCCAGCGCACAGCATTGAGCAGAAAGGGGCCCAGTTTGCCAACGGTGAATAATACCTTGTGGCCGGTCACGACCACCCGGCCCCGGCCGTAGCGGGCAGCCGCTATGACACAGCCATGGTAGGAGTCTAACCCCAGGGGAAAGGCCAGAGCCCCGTGCACCAGCAGCTGGGATGGGAAGCAGTCTGAGTTGCTGATGTCCAGCTCTGAAATCCCGTGCAGGAGCTCGTCTCTGTCCTCGGAGAGGTCATCCTCACAGCTGCAAAGACACACAAGTGTTCTCCATTCAAGGAGCAGCCACAGAAAGCCCCGGGGACAGCACCCAGCATACAGCAGGCAGCAGCTTTCCTAATATGACCACTTTTGTCTCTCACAGGGCAGCTGGGAGAACAAGGTGGGCATATCTGACCTCCCTGGGTACGGAGGCTGGTCAGAGGGAAGACAGGGGGACGTTGATTCTGGTCTACTCATTCTTGGAAGACACACTCTCCAAAGCAGGGGCGCCTGGGTGGCTCTGTCGGTTAAGGGCCTTACTCTTGATTTCAGCTCCGGTCGTGATCTCCTGGTTGATGGGATCAAGCCCCACGTTGGGCTCTGCACTAAGAGCTCAGAGCTTGCTTGGGATTCTCTCTCTGACCTCTCTCTCTGTACTCCCCCCCCCCCCCACTTGCAAGTGTGTGCTGTCTGTCTCTCTTTCTCTCTCTCTCTCTCTCTCAAAATAAATAAATAAACAGGGGCTCCTGGGTGGCTCAGTCAGTTAAGCGTCCAACTTCGGCTCAGGTCATGATCTCGTAGTCAGTGAGTTCGAGTCCCGCATCAGGCTCTGTGCTGCTAGCTCAGAGCCTGGGGCTTGCTTCAGGTTCTGTGTCTCCCTCTCTCTCTGCTCCTCCCCCACTCATGCTCTGTCTCTTTCTGTCTCTCAAAGATGAATAAATGCAACACAAATTTATTTAAAAAAAAAACAACCCAAATTCTCCAAAGGAAATCTCAAAGGAAGGCTTGCTGTGTTTACCTAATATTATATCTTAAATATTCCAGATTTAAGTGTTTATTTCAGCCTTTTGCACATTATATAAATAACTGAATGGTGAATCATGTTTTCATTCTCATAAAGAACCTTATTTATAAGTTCTGTGCAGCCAATTTTCTGCAAATAAAGTCAATGGAGAGCTGAGTTGGTGGCACCAGTATTATCTCAAAAGGTGGGGCAGGGGAGCTGAGTGGCTTCAACTCTAGTGAGACCCTCCTGGTAACTTGAACCTAAAAGGATTGACTGCTGACACCCAGCACTCCACCCACTCATTGCCGGCTCGCTGGAGTGACATCCACACTATAAGGTCTTTCTCAGCACCATCTGTACCCGTCTCTGGGTAACGGACCCCTATCACCTCAGGACACCTGTAACCCCAAAACAGGAGATGCAGCCCTGGCCACCTAGTGGGATCCTCAGGGGGTAAGAGGTGGAGTGACCTCCATAAGTTCGAGATCCCAGAACTGGCTGTGCCACTTTTGTAAAGATGTGGTAACTGCAGAAGGCAGCTGCCAAGATACAATGGAAAACAGGAGCCAGGCGGACAGCAGAGCTGAGTCGTGTCCTCTGGATGGGAGAACTCCAGTTAACCGACGGGGAGACTGCGGTGCTCTCAGTGGGTACTAGCCTTTCCTGGAGACAAGGTATCACCCTAGTGACTCTCCAGCTCCTTCAGGTAGTAACCTCCGAAGTTATTCAGCTCGCTGTTCCTGCTCTGATTCTCAGTTTACCCAACCACCTTGTGATCATAATCTTGCTTCTGATTCTGACGATCACCTGCCCAACAGGCCAGGCCACGCAGAATGTTCTAGTTTTGTGACATGTCTATTTCTCAAGCAATATCTTGGACAGTCTGTCTTTAATTTGGTGATTCTAAAATTAAAAATATGAATTAAAAAAAAATTTTATGACTTTATACCTGCATATAAAATTAAATGTAAAATGTGTTTGAATTCTTATAAGAAGCAGTTCTGTGTATAAATTTCATGCAGTTGTTTTATAGGTGAAATCAGCGAAGAGGTAGGTCACTGTGCTTTATTTATTGTTTTATTTTTTTAAGTTTATTTATTTATTTTGAGAAAGACAAAAACTAGACAAGTAGGGGAGGGGCAGAGAGAGAGGGAGACAGAGAATCCCAAGCAGGCTCCATTGCCAGCACAGAGCCCGACGCGGGACTTGAACCCAAGAAACTGTGAGATCGTGACCTGAGCCAAACCCAAGAGTCAGACGCTTAACTGACTGAGCCACCTAGGCACCCCTGTGTTTTAGATAAATACACTGGCATCAAGGTTTATACACTATTATGACAAGGGGGGTGATACTGAATGTGCAAACTTGAGGTCCAGACACTGAGTCGCTAGAACCTCATCTAGACGATGACCCTGGGTGAGGTCCTGCTCATACTAAGCTGGGGGGCACCCTCAGAGTGTCTTTTATGTCTAATAGCCATGACTTCTATGCAGGGGGAGAAAAATTTTTCTTTCATAAACTGAAAAAAATCTGAACTGGATTTTTACTTCTCTTTCCCATTCTCTTCTGAAATGAAACATTAAGTTTTAAAATCAGAATAAATCCATGATAGCACTGGGTTTGGAGAAGGGCACAATCAATAAACTGGGCCAGTGAGAAATTTATAGAAAATGGAAATCAAATGGAATCAGACTGATCAGAAACCCTTTAAAACAGAAGAATCTGTAACTGCATCTATGTGAAAGAAAAAGACCAAGAAAACAGGAAGAGTAGGGATTATCATTTGTCCTGAGAAAATACACCTCAGTAACCAGTAATGACCAATCTAGAATTTCAATGCCACTTAACATTTAAATAAACAAGAATCACTGAATATGTGATGAAAAGTAACACCGTGAAAGAGAAGCACGAAACTAACCAGAGAATACCAACACTCTAGTAACAGTGATAAATGAAGAAGAAAGTCCTACATAAATATTGTAGATTATTGGAGTTTTGAGATGACATACTTTGTCTCCAAAAAAAACAAAAACAAAAACAAAAAAAACAAGAACAGGCTGCTATAATAAGTTACTCATTAGAATAAAAGTATAATTGCCAGGGAATCTCAATTTTAATACATGGCAGAAAGTAAATCTTGATGGGGATGAACACTATGAATAAGTCAACAGGGAAACTGAGTCAAGTGATCGTTCCAGAGGGCAGTGCTGAAAGGCACGAAGCTAAACAGCAGAAAAAAGAGAATGAAGGACAAAGGAGAAGATCTAGCAAGCGGGAGTTAAGAAAGCAAAGAAAGAGAAAAAAAGGAGCAAGAAACCTACAATTACATGCAATTTCCTTGCACTGAAAAACTGATTTCAGTTCTCAGAAAGACAGGACTACCCGAATGCAAAGCAGGGTAAATGAGAAGTGCAGGATCTAGCTGGTTACTGACAAGCTAATGAACTTCAAACATGAAGAAAAAGCCTTGAAGGCCGCCAGAAAGAAAACAAAGCCAAAGAGAACAAATTACCTACAAAGAAGTGAAACAAACTCCCTAAAAACAAAGTATTTGAGGGCAGTGAAGGCACTCTGTGTGGCACACACAGCCGCCTAAAACTCTTCGTTGGCACGTGGAAATACTGATACCACATCAAGGGTTTAGAAAACGTACCACTCGTGAAAGTTTTCCCCAAAATGTACCTAAGGTTACCCTGTAGGTCTAGAAAAAGAAAAACAAGTACAACAGACAAACAGATTGGCTTCACGAAACAGTGGCGGGCACGAATACCAGTGTAATTTATAAGTAATGCTGAGAAAGGTCTTCTGATACTTGCTGCAGTTGCTAAGAAAGAGTCCCGAATTAGCAGGACCATGACGTTAAACTAAACTGAGGCAAAACCAAACTGGAACCAAGGTGCCGCTGTTTTGGGAGGTAGAGGGTGAGCATGCAAAAGTGCGAGAAAGAGACAAATGGCGTTCTTAATTTGGAGACGTAGATTATAAAAACTAGTTAATTCGCAACTCAGATCTAAAAATATAAAGCTTACTAAATAAGGGCAACACAGTAAATATGGCTATTAGTGTATAATAAAGGTGGCATCTTGTATTACTGGGAAAAGATACTTTCATAAAAATAATTTCAAATAACCTATATTATAAATTATATTATAATAACTTATTATAGTAAATATTTATGTAATAATATATAATGCATAATATTATATAATATATAGTTATATAATAAAATGTAAATAATAAATGTATTATCATAAATTATAAATATAATTTCATAAATGTTGGGATGACTGGATAGGCATTTGGGAAAAGATAAAATGGATACCCTCTGTCACACAACACACAAGACAAGATTCCAAATGCATCCGAGCGGTAAATTTTAAAAGGGAAACCACCCAAGTACTGGAAGAAACCAAGAGTGAAATCTCCTAATCTAGGTGTGAGGAAAGGCTTCCTAACTATGACCCAAAATCAAATGTGCTAAGAGAAAAGATTGATAAAATTAGCTACATATGCATTTTTGAATGGCAGAAATACTAAATACATTAAAAAAACAAACATGCTGTAATCACAGATAAAAGATGAATATTTCTAGTCTGTAAAGAACTCTTAAAATGAGAACACGAAAAACATATCTGAAAATGGGCAAAACATGTAAAAGGACAGTTTGCAACCAAAAAAAACCTAAATGACTCTTAACACACACTGATTTACTTCTAGAAAAAAGAATGAAGGGGCACCTGGGTGGCTCAGTCAGTTAAGTGTCCGACTCTTAGATTTGGCTCAAATCATGACCTCATGGTCCCTGGGTTCAAGCCCCTCTTCGGGCTCTGTGCTGACAGTGCAGAGCCTACTTGGGATTCTCTCTCTCTTTCCATCTCTCTGCCCCTCCCCTGCTCATGCTTTCTCTCCCTCTCTCTAAAAATAAATAAAGTTAAAACAGAAAAAAGAATACAAGTTACAACTATATTGGAATACCATTTCCCAGCTATCAGGCTAACAAAGCTTCAGAAGTCTGATAACTATTCTGTTAGAATTGTGTGGGGGAAACAGGCATCGTCTCTCCACTGCTGGTGAGAATGCTAAGTGGTACAACCCAACATGGAGATGAACTTGGCAATTTCTAACAATAGTATACATACATTTATCCTTGGACCTAGCAATTTTATCTCTAGAAAGTTAGCCAAAAGGCACAATTTCAATAAAATGAAAACACTTAAAACAAAGTTATCCATTGCAACTTTATGATAGCAAAAACATGA